GCCCAACACCACCTGAAGAGGAAGATACTATCGTCTTTTGCTTCAACTGCCCGTCGACCCCATTGCTGCGTCGATCGAGCAGCAGCCATTGTTGCTGCTGTTCGTTTTCAGCACGTCCGTCAAACAGCAGCCCACGACCACCTGCTACCCAGCATCGTCCAAAACGAACGCAAAACCCTAACCAAACCCTACCCCAAACCACCTGCTTCACCCGTTCCAACCAACATCTCGAAAAAACCCAGCAGCAGCAACAGTTTCTTGGTCCGAGCTCTCTGCTTCCATCGAGGTCGTCGTTGTTCGTCGAGGTCAGGTTTGAGTTCCGTCGGGGGGCTTGCTTGTCGTTCTAGGTTTGTCGAGGTTCGAAGGTTGGTATTCTTCATCCTTTGTTTCATTTCGTTCATTTCGCATATTATCGTTCAANAAAATCAGATAATCAAGCCGAATATAACAATTGAGCGACCGTGCTAGAACCACGGAACTCGGGAATGCCTAACACCTTCTCCCGGGTTAACAGAATTCCTTATCCGGATTTCTGGTACGCAGACTATAATATAGAGTCATTATTTTCCTCAATTCGGGATTAAAATTGGTGACTTGGGACACCCTAAATCTCCCAAGTGGCGACTCTGAAATAATTAAACCAATCCCCTTTCGATTGTCCTTTAATTGGAAAAAACTCCCCTGCGCCCCCGCGGGTGCGGAAAAAGGAGGTGTGACAAATATGATATCATCTACCAACCTAGAACTGCTATAAAATCTTAAGTGTTAGCTGATTTCATGGCTGATTTTAACCAAGGGATGCAATTAGAAGCAGAAAAAGAGTTGCAGGTGTTCAACGGAGCTAACCCAGGAACTTGGACCTTGTTTACTGATGGTTCATCTAACATAAAGGGTGTTGGTTTAGGGATTGTTTTGGTACCACCTACGGGTGAAACCATTCAACAAGCCATAAAATGTCATTCTATAACTAACAATGAGGCAGAGTATGAAGCTGTGATTGCAGGTTTAGAACTGGCACGAGAACTTAGCATAAATCAGATTATAATCAAAAGCGATTCACAGCTCGTAGTTAATCAAATGCTGGAGACTTATACGGCTAGAGAAGCAAGGATGCAGCAATACTTAGAGAAGATACGAGATTTGATAAAGCAATTTCAAACCTGGAAAGTAACACAAATACCAAGGGATGAAAATATAGAAGCCGACGCCCTAGCTAATCTTGCATCTGCGGCAGACGTGGCAAACAATGAAAATGCTTCAGCTATTCATTTGTTTCATTCAGTTCTCGACCTCAATAAGAATGAGGTAAATTTTAATAACTTAACTTGGTATTGGAGGAACGAGATTGTTGCTTTTTTGCAGTATGGTACCGTCCCTGAAGATAAGAAAAAAGCTCATGCGCTTCGAAAAAAGGCTGCTCGGTATTGCTTAAAGCAAGGAAATCTTTACCGAAAAATGTTCGGTAGTCCCTTAGCAAGATGCCTCAGACCTTCTCAGACGGAATACGTAATGAGAGAAATACACGAGGGGCATTGTGGGAATCACGCAGGAGGAAGGTCATTGGTAAGAGGCTTAATTAGGGCAGGTTATTTTTTGCCCAAAATGGAAGAAGAAGCAGAAAGTTTCATGGCTAAATGTGATAAATGCCAAAGGTACGGTAATAATATGCTTAGGCCCGCAGAGCTATTACATCCGGTCATTGTACCGTGGCCATTTATGAAATGGGGGATGGATATCGTGGGTCCACTACCGCAAGCAAAAGGATAGGTAAAATTTTTGCTCGTACTCACTGATTATTTTACTAAATGGGTAGAGGCAGCAACATTTAAACATGTACGAGAAAAGGAAGTTGGAGATTTCATTTGGCGGAATATCATATGTCGATTCGGTGTGCTAAAGGAGATCGTGTGTGATAATGGTCCTCAGTTTATAGGCACTCAAATCACAGAATTCTTTCAAAGTTGGCAGATTAAAAGGATTACGTCTACACCTTATCATCTTGTGGGTAATGGGCAAGCTGAGTCAACAAACAAAGTCATTATCAACAATTTAAAGAAGCGTTTAGAGGAATCCAAAGGTAATTGGTCAGAAGTGTTACCTGGTGTTTTATGGGCATATCGCACAACAGCAAAAACAAGTACAGGAGAAACACCATTTTCATTGGTTTATGGAGCTGAAGCTTTAATTCTAGTTGAGATAGGAGAGCCGAGTACCCGATTCACACAAGCGACAGAAGAATTTAATGACGAGGAAATGCGTGTAAATCTTGATTTACTTGAAGGAAGAAGAGAAGCTGCACTAATAAGAATGACAACATAGAAGCAGGTCATAGAACAATACTACAACCGAAAATCACGTCTCAGATTCTTCAAAATTGGGGACTTCGTGCTCAAAAAGGGTTTTCAATCTACGAAGGCAGCTAACTCGGGGAAATTAAGTCCAACATGGGAAGGACCCTATAGAATTCATGATATTGCAGGTAAAGGAGCATATGAGCTTGAAACAATGGATGGCAAGATACTACCGTCACATTGAAATGCTGTTCATCTGAAGAGATATTGTTTCTGATGAATACTCACGGTCAGGTATCCATATTTTAAAATTTAATTTTTGAATTGTTAAAATTTTACTAATGATTTTAGATGATAAGAAAAATGCTAACCCGTACTAAATGATGAGTCACAACCTGCAAGGCACGTGGAATAAATTAAACTTCCTGGCCTAGGGTTACAATCATTCTGATAGAAATTCAAATGGGTTAAGCAGTCTTCATCTATAATCGTACCTCCGAGTCCCGTATGTTTTTCCTTTATAGGGAAAGGACCAAATGAGAGGAACAATCAAGTGCTCGAGGCTTCATACTTCAATGCTCAAACACTTGGGGGATTACATAATATACACGGGCATGTGTATAAGGAAGGCAAAGAAGATCAAGCCCTAAAAAGTTCACTCATTGAATGAGTCAAGTGTAGAGCAAAGTCATGAGCTAAGGCCAAAGAAAAACCTTACCATAGTTAGGGTAAAGGCTATGTACTGAAACGGGTTATAAATAAAAACCTCATGTTTATTACCTTACCATAGTTAGGGTAAAGGCTATGTACTGAAACGGGTTATAGATAAAAACCTCGTGTTTATTTTTTTTTTAAATCTGTTACAAGAAAAATTGTTACGAGAAAGTTATAGATGTAGTTCAAATACGTGTAAAGTGTTATTCAAAACTAGACAAAGTTCAAATAAAAACTTGTCAAAGTTATTTCAAAGAAACATGTGTATTCATATTTCTTTTATCGTATGTTAACACCATTATAAAATTTAGACGTCTTCTTCATTAAGTGTCGAATATAAAAGGGCCCTCTTTTATAAAATTCGTAATTAATTTGAATATTCATGAAGTTAACAGAAGCATTTTTGAAGAATAAAAATGCAAATTATTCTATAAGTCCTTAGAAATAAAGGCAAGAATAAACAAAATGGAAGTTCAAAATAATAACGAGAAACTTCTTTATATTAAAAAGCTTAGACTAAGTATGAACTTAGTCATGAAATTGTTTATACATGTTGCCCCATAAAAGGTCCGGGGACTTGAATTTCCAAAACAAACCTTTAAATAAGACCAAGGGTTTTACCACAATTTTCCAAAAAACAAAACAACACAAAGAAATTCAAATGACTTAAACTTATCACTAAAAAGATGTAGGAACTGAAGTAGGTGCATCAACAACAGCGGGCTCAACTAGGCTTGAAGGAGTTGGGATACCCGTATCAACTTCAACATTCACAGAAGCTTCGGCCACGGGAGAAGGAAAATCTTGAGTTTGCTGAGCCTTCTCAATAGTTTCATTGAATTTAGCTAACTCAGATTCCAAGTTAAAAGTCTCTTGGCTAGCTTCAACTAGGGTATCACAGCGAGAATTCAAAAACGCCCAACTCACTTCAATGGTAGATTTATCCTCAAGGATTTCATAATCCCTTTCCCAGTCAACAATTTCATTCTTTAATTTCTCATTTTCAGCCAAGGCAGAAGTATAAGAAACTTGAAGAGAGGCATGAGAACTTTCCCAGGCACAAACCTTATCAGAAGAAGCTCGAAGGTCTTTTTGTGCTTGAGTCAAGTTCTGCACGAGCTCTCCAGCATAAGCCTCTTTCTCACCCAAGAGAACCTTTAACTCTCTAATCTCTTCACTTGCCTTGGACAGTTGCTCGGAGAAAGAGGTTTTAAGACAAGCCTTTTCTTTACCCGCTTGACTTGAGGAAGCCTTTTCAACTGCCAACTCTGAAGTCAAGGCCCATACCTGCTGCTCCAAGGTACTCTTACTTTCTTCTAAGTACTCCACATCAATATAAAGGCTTTCATACTGTTCTTTCCAATTGCACGCCTCTAATTTAGAATCACACACTAATTGATCTAAGAGGGCAACCCTTTTAATTATCTCTGTGCCGATAAGATTGGCCTATATATAAAAAAATGGAAGGGAAATGAGAATCTCAAAGATAGAAAAATTTTAAAGCACAGCAAAGGAAAAAAGAAAAGGGGGAATACCTTTAAGGAAGCATGCACAATGTCATTCATCAGGTCAAGGAACTATGGCTCTCTAGCTTGGATCTCTCAATAGGACTAATTAAGGGCTTTAACCACACATCTGCTTGACCCGATTTCCTCAAAAGATTGCCCTCAGCGAGGACTTCAATAATCATTTGCCTCATAGCACTACTCCTACTTGAGGAGCCAACTTCAGCACGATGAGTAAGTGGAGGAGGAATTGTCGAAAGTGGAATAGTAGAGGTAGTAAAAATAACCTGGGGAGGAACGGAAACAGTCGAGATCGGCAAAGAAGGAGTCATAGATACGGGAGTAGAAAAAGAATCCAGAGGTGCTTCATCAAAAACTGGGCCTAAACTTTCACTACCAAACCAGCTGATAAAAAGTTGCTCAACAGAGTCATGAGCAGCAACGAGAGCAACATCATCATCAAGAATCACCACCGGGGACTCAACAGACTCGGTAAGGGGAATAGAACGATGAGGGGATGCTTCTTCTTCATCATCAGAAATGATGCGTCTATGAGCCCGTGGCCTTGTTACCAAAGAGCCCCCATCTTCCTCTTTTTCAGAGCCTTGGTCATCAATGACTTTTCTTTTCGATGAAGAAACCAAGATTATTTCTTGGGCCCTTTCCAAAGAGATACGAGAAGTCGCGACCACCTCGGCAGTAACTCCTCGAATAGCAAATCCTGATAGAAAGAAGGATTGAAATAAGTTCGGGAGGAAACAATATGTAAAGTAAAATTTAAAAACTCTTACCATGAGTTTTTACTTTCCAACCAAATCGTTGGGAAAGGGTCTTCCAAGATCTACCATCCATTGGTGCAATCTTCAACGGCTTGTCTACCCAATCACGGAAATTGGGAACATCTTCCACAACTCCCATGGTTGCTGAAAAAGAAAGGCAAAATTAGAAAAATCAACAAAATGAAGAAAAAGGTAGAGAAAGTTAGAAGACTCACGTGCAAAATTCCACTTCTCAGGGTGTTACGACCCAATTCTCCGAACCCGGTCATGATGGCGCCTCTCGTGAAGACAAGGTCAGCCAGAACAAAACAGACCACCTCTTTTAAACAGTTAAATACCATAAGTAGTTCTAAAACGTGATATAATAACCATAATTTGCGGAATTAACGATAACAATAGTAGAAACCATCCCGACATAGCCCAAACCGGGGTGTCAAAAGTCATGAGCAACTAATAGTTCCAGATACCAGTCTACTAGATACGAAATCCGTTATAGAAGTTCAAGAACATGAAAATAGTAAGATAAGGGCGGCACGGGGGCTGCGGACGCCAACAACTACCTCGTAGTCTCTGAAAAACACTGCCTGGATTGGGAGGATCAACACTTAGGAGCGGACTCTACGATGCCTGAATCTACACACACGGTGCAAGGAGTAATGTGAGTACTCTGACTCGGTGAATAATAATCATAAATAATGGCTGAAAGCAAGAAAACACGTAAAGGCACAAAGCAATTCTATATCAAGCAGTAAAATCACTTAAGACAGTAAATCCATGAAGAAATCAAATGAAGTTCCTTCAAACCAAGTAAAACATGTAATTTAGCCGGTGAATAACAAGTAGAAATCCACCCCTCGGGCAAAGTAACAATCACTCAGAACAGTATCAGCCCCTCGAGCTCACTCTCAGTACAATATCAGCCCCTCGGGCTCACTCTTAGTACAGTATCAGCCCCTTGGGCTCACTCTCAAATCATGATGGGTACCCGCGCTCACTGTGGGGGTGCAGACTCCGGAGGGGCCCCTTGCGGCCCAAGCGCAATATCAAGCCATCTCGTGGCAATAAAAAGTATCTCAGGCCCTCGGCCTCATATCACTCAGCATATCCTCACATATGGCCCTTGGACTCACTCAATTCGAAAATCATCACAAACCCCTCGGGCATTAGTAGAACAGTAGTTCTCAGCCCAAAACATCATTTAAAAATATCATTTAAGTTCAAATACGAATAACAATGGCTGAGTTTGTAAAATAGTAAATATCAACAGGACTGAGTTCAAGTAATAAGTCAAACAATGAGGAATTAGTGATAAAAATCCCCGGAGGGTTCAAATAGTTGGCACGAAGCACAAATATGGCAATCAGCCCAAATCATGATGATAACAAATAAGTTTCAGTCAAATACGCTGTAAAATCATCAATCGGGACGGACCAAGTCACAATCCCCAGTAGTAAAAGACCCCACGCTCATCACCCAACGCGTGTCTCACCTCAATACAGTACTACGATGTGCAATCCGGGGTTTCAAACCCTCAGGACATCATTTACAACCATTACTCACCTCAAACCGGCTAATTGTCTAGCTCGCGATGCCTTTGCCCCTCGAATTGGCCTCCACGCACGCCGAATCTATCCAAAATCAGAATGAATACGTCATAATATGCTAAGGGAACAAAGCCCAAGCGAAAACAATCGAATTATCACAAAATTCTAGAAATTGGTCAAACCCTACCCCCGGGCCCACATCTCAAAATTTGACAAAATGCACAAACTAGAATCCTTATACTCTCACGAGTCTATCCATATGAAAATTATCTAATTCCGATACCATTTGGTCCTTCAAATCATCATTTCATATTTTTGAAGGATTTCACAATTTTCTTCCCAAATTCCATCCCAAATCACGAATTAAATGATGAATTCAATGATAGATTCATGTACTCTAGCCAAATCTGAGTTAGAATCACTTACCCCGATGAATTTCTTGAAAAACCTTCGAAAAATCACCAAAATTCGAGCTCTCTAGGTCAAAATATCAAATAAAACCCAAAACCTCGTATTTATAGAGTACCACACATATTTCCACCTCCGCGGGCCACACAAAACCGACCGCGGTCCGCACAAAACCAGTGTGGTCCGCACAAAAATGACCGCGGCCGTACAAGCTTTGCAGTGATAGGCTTTAGTATTTTGGTCATAACATTCGCTACGGATGTCCAAATTGCAATATATTTACCTTTCTGGAAACAAGACACGAAGGACTACAACTTTTGTTTTTAAATCATCTCATAATATCTTGTAGATCAAAAGATATGAGCTTCCGAAGTAGGACCAGCGGAATGTTCTTTATCGCGGCCGCACACCATTTTGTGCGGTCCGCACAACACCTACCGCGACCACACTTCATTTTGTGCGGTCCGCTTAACACATACTGTCACACCTCCTTTTTACTACCCCAGGAGGGATATAAGGGAGTTTTTTCCAATTAAAGTGACAATTGAAACGAGATTATCTATTTTAAATTTAGAGTCGCCACTTGGGATGATTTATGGTGTCCCAAGTCACCGATTTAAATCCCGAATCGAGGAAAGATTGACTCTGTTTTACAATCCGTGAAATACAGAAATTCGAGTAAGGAATTTTGTTAACTCGGGAGAAGGTGTTAGGCATTCTCGAGTTCCATGGTTTTAGAACGGTCGCTCAACTGCTATTATTGGCCTATTATCTGATTTTATTACAAGTTTTGAACCTATGTGTATTTTAACTTTAAGCCGCTTTACAATTCATTTCTAAGAAGATTTCAACGTTATACAAAACATGTCTTTGGATCACGCCACATGAAATACACCCGCGATCCGCGATATATTTTATTTAACGTTGTTGAGATTTGGATTTGGGTCACATGAATGCACACCCGAGTTTAGGAAAGTAATTTTTAAAATAGCGCGCCTAAAGCAACTACGCACTTTCAACTTTGCGAGGACATGGAAAATTCAACTAAATGGCACACCTCAATTTCTAAAGGATTGAAATTAATTAAGTGAGGGCCATGCGTTTGAGATTTTATTTGGCACTACACGCCTCAAATTAATTCAAAGGATCTTATTATTCGAAATTGTTATAATAGGGTTACATGAAGTGCACCCCCGAATTTGGGAATTAGGCATCTTGATTATGTCACGGGAACTGTACCCATAATCACGATGGTTTATTAATCGCACCTAAAGCAGCTGACGCGAAATTACTTTCAAGGAAAGAATGGATTCCCTTATACATGAAAAGGCGGCGATTTGTTGTTTAGCAAAAATAAACCCACAAACCAATTTTAACTAAGACAAGTTCAAAGTAAATGAAACATTCATGTACAGTGAAAGCAGACATACATTGGCACAAAGGGAACAATTGTTGAATTAGAACCAATCAACTTGTCCAAATAATTTTGAACAAAGGCAGCAGTATACGTTTCGAAAACGTCAAAGGAATTAATTATATATGCTTCCAGTTATTTTAAACTAACCAAGAGTGAGTCAACAACCACATCATACTTTTACAAGATGAAAACAAATCAGACCTTCGTGTTGAAATGCAGCAGCTCGATTTAAAATCCAAAATCATTGTGAACCATTATTATTCCAAGCTTGGTTCCAAAGGAAATCATTGTACAATTTACAAATTTCCAGTAATATCTCAAACACTAGTCTAGAATGCTAAGTCAACCAAACTTAATTACTACGCCAATATCCAACTCCCTAATTTGTGTCAGTACATAAATCTATTTTAATTGCTGTATATCACTGTTACCCGTTTGAGCCATAGAAGGCAAAGCTCTGTTTTCACTTAATCAGTCAATAAATTAACTTTTTAAACAAGACAACCTAAATAAATTAATGGTGTCAGAGCAAATGAGTAGAGCGTGAACACGCTAGAACACTTCACGAAATAACTAGAGCATAAGAAAATGCATGAAAATTTGTTGAATTCTTCAGAGGCACCAAAACAAACCAATGTTCAAGCATGATTTCATATTAGGCCAAATCTGAAAAATACAAGTTTAAAGAAGACATACCTAATGGCGCGAGGATTTAAATATAAGCCCAAACAAAGGCAAAGAAAACAACTGGTTGGAGCTGCGCAACGATGAACAGCAAGACGCAGCTTCAACTTCCGAATTTGACACCAAACTCGAACACCGCAGAAATGGCAGAGGTTGAATTTCGAAATTAATTTTTCTTTAACATTCTTTCAGAAATTTCAGCTCTTCTTTTGTTTATCAAACTTTGTGATTTTTCAGATCTTCACTTGGAATTTTTAGCTTTGTTTCAGCCGTTTGCGTTCAAATCGCGAGTGGGTGAGTCTTCGTCTTCGTGTGGTGTTATTCTCCCATGGAAAACGAAGGAGGGATGTCGGAAAAGAAAAGATGGAAGATGGAAGGGATGCTCGTTCTGGTTTTTTGTTCAAGAGCGCCGCTGTTGGGTTTCTAAAGGGCTCCCTCCTTTTATGATATTCTCGCTGGTTTTTAGGGTAAGGTCCAAATGTTAATATCAAGGGGGATCCGATGTTTTATGTGAGGGATCTTGGCCGGTTCGGTTTGGCGGGTTTGACCCGTTTTCTTGGGCTGGGGTGGTGAGCCCTTGGGCTGGTCCGAATTGGGTACTATTTGGGGCTGATTTGGGAGATTAAAAAAATGGGTCCAATGTCAGAGAATTAATACTCTTATATTCCTCTTCTTTTATTTTCAATTCCATTCTTTTTTCCTTTTCTTTTCTTTTTCCTTAACTAAAAATCTTAGAAATTAAAATCCCAGATTATCTAAAAACTGTGAAATTAAACTAATTAACTAATTACAAAAATCATAAAAGCTACTCAATCTTAAATTAAAAGAGAAAAATCAATAACCTAAATATAAAAGGCAAAAGTTTAAAAATGAATCATTTTTTGTGGTTTTCAAATTTTTATAAAGCAAATAATTAAGGTTAATTCTAAAAATATAAAAACAAATCCTTAATGCAATGCATGATATTTTTGGCATTTTTCATAATTAAAATAAAAATTAAATGTGCACAAAAATGCAAACAATTAATAAAATCCTACAAAAATCCTATAAAATGTCAGATAATTGGAAAAATCTATTTTCTTGGATTTTATAGGAGCAATTCATATAGGGCAAAAATCACGTGCTCACAGCTGCCCCTCTTTACTTGAAAACACAAAGGGTTTTCGGGCAAAGATAAAGTGAGCGAATACGAGCGATTTTTGCTGGTTTGAATACTCCGTGGGAAGCATTTTTTGAAAGATCTGACCGAACCTTGCTTCAGAGGTTGCCTACATATCCTTGGCTATAAAGGAATCAGGTCAGTGTAGTTCTGAAAGTTTTGGTAGCTGGGACTACCAGGAAGCTGTGATATCACTGCTGTTGCTGCTGTTTCTGCTTGCTGAACTCCTTATTACACCAAGATAAAATAAATAAATAAAAAAACTTGACTAAACTATGATCTATGCAATACAAGAATCCTATCTATATCTTCGAACTTGATCTTGCGGTTCCTGTTGCTCTGTTGACTCGTACCCTCCAGGTGAAATTCCCTTGTTACTGACTTGAATTGCAATCTAAGATGCTTTCCCTTTTCTCCAAGTGGGCTCCTGATTGCTGACCTTGAACTGTCTTCCTTTGACCACTGTTTCCTTTGTTCTTCCAAGTGAGCTCCTGATTACCAACACTTGAACTACTTCTTCCCTTTGTTCTTCAGGTGGGCTCCTTATTACCAACACTTGAATTGCTGCTTCCCTTCGTTTTTCAGGTGGGCTCCTGATTACCATCACTTGAATTGCTGCTTCCCTTCATTCTTCAGGTGGGCTCCTGATTACCAACACTTGAACTGACTCCTCTGAAACTGCTGCCTGTCAAACTGATTGCAACAAAACAAACAAAACAAAAGAAATTTTTCTGCCCCAGTTTGATATCGGGAACATCTGTGAGTGTTAATCGAATCATAGTACCCAAAAGCTCTAAGAATTTAAAAGCTAAATCCCATAATCAAGGAGGGTCCTGAGAACTAAAATTAAATCTCATCTTAAGAGTGAAAATTTTAAAGCTAAATTATATTTCCTCAAGTAAAACTTACGCTAAATCTCATTATCTAAGAGGGTCCTGAAAAACTTTTTAAAACTAAATCGCATTATCCAGGAGGGTCCTGATTTCAAGACAACTAAAAATTGATAACTTAAGAAAACTAAAATTGACCCCTTCTTTTTTTCTTTTTTTTTTCAAATCCAGACTTCCCCTTTTTTGAAATTATCCTAGGAGAAATTTCATCAGACTAGGTTTTCTATCTTAGGAGAAAGATTCATCAGACTAAGACGTTTATCCTAAGAGAAATTTCATCAGACTAGGTTTTCTATCTTAGGAGAAAGATTCATCAGACTAAGACGTTTATCCTAAGAGAAATTTCATCAGATTAGGTCCTTTTTTCTCTTTTCTTTTTGCTTTTGTTTTTGGTATCTTAGGAGAAAGATTCATCTGACTAAGACGTTTATCCTAGGAGAAAATTCATCAGACTAGGTTTTCTATGTTAGGAGAAAAATTCATCAAACTAGGTCCTTTTTTTGTTATCCTAGGAAAAAGATTCATCAGACTAAGATTTCTATCCTAGGAGAAAGTTCATCAGACTAGGTCTTCTATCTTAGGAGAAAAATTTATCAGACTAAGATTTCTATCCTAGGAGAAAGTTCATCAGACTAGGTCTTCTATCTTAGGAGAAAAGTTCATCATACTATGATTTTGATCCTAGGAGAAAGTTCATCAGACCAGGTCTTTTTTTTTTTGTATCTTAGGAGAAAGATTCATCAGACTAAGATTTTTATCCTAGGAGAAATTTCATCAGACTAGGTTTTCTATCTTAGGAGAAAGATTCATTAGACTAAGATTTTTATCTTAGGAGAAAGTTCACCAGACTAGGTCTCTTTTCTATCTTAGGAGAAAGATTCATCAAACTAAGATTTCGATCATAGGAGAAAGTTCATCAGACTAGGATTTGATCTTAGGAGAAATATTCATCAGACTAAGTCTTCTAATCTTAGGAGAAAGATTCATTAGACTAAGATTTTGATCCTAGGAGAAAATTCATCAGACTAGGTTTCTTATCTTAGGAGAAAAATTCATCAAACTAAGATTGTGATCCTAGGAGAAAGTTCATCAGACTAGGTTTTCCATCTTGGGAGAAAAATTCATGAGACTAAGATTTCGATCCTAGGAGAAAGTTCATCAGACTAGGTTTATAATGGGAGGAAAATCCATCAGACTAGGACTTTTTATCCTAGGAGGAAAAATGTGAAGATCAAATGACAAAATTTTATGCACATGAGCAAGATAGAAAAAGACAAAATTTGAGAAACTTCCCTTTGTCGGCTCTTCTCTTCTTTTCATTATCATTTTTTTATTCTTTTTTTTATTTTTCCTTCTTTTTCTCTTTTCTTTTCCCTTATTTTGTTTTCTTCTTTTTGTTTGAATCACATTCCTTGCACTACTTTGTTCTTGTTTCATACAAAGAAATATTTGTTAGTTTTGAATGGTGGTCTGTTTGTGGCCTTTAGTCTTGAGCAGCTTGGCTTTTGCTCGATCATCTTGAGTCGGTCTCAAGAAACTTTTGTTCTGCACTAACTATGACTGTTTCACACCCGGTACCATTTGTATTTCTGGCTCAATCAGCATTATCCCAACTAGAGATCTTTTCTTAGATGACCTTTTCTGAGATCTTGAATGACTTCCTGCTTTGAGCAATTTGTCTGTCAGAGAGAATCACAAGTTATCTTTATTTGCGCCAAGCAGGCTGACAAGAGTCTTTTGGGGAAGCCTTTGTATGAATCCTCAAGGCATGTTGACATTAACAACTGAGTTTACTGGCCAAATTTACTTTGTACAACTGAAAAGTTGGTAGCAAATTTTGAAATCTTTTCTTACTTGTTTTGAGAAGGACTGACTCAGGGTGAAGGACACAATGACGCAAAGAAACAAATATTAACAAGAAATGCCCCGGTCGGGAAGGATAGGGGAAGAGTTTTCTTTTATTTTTTTTTGCGCTAACTTGCCTTAATGATCATGACATGCATTTTGGACTCAATGGCCTGATCTATCAAACTGATCTAATTTTCCCTTTTACCATTCTTGACCTTTAAAGTCGGGCTTGTTTGTGCCAATTCTTTGCATTAACTTCACGCCTCACTTTCGACTAGTGTTGCCCCAAGGGATTTTCACCAACAAGTCTCTCTCATTTATTCATCTCTGCTTACCATCGTCTTACAGTGCCCGTGAGGGTTTTCACTAATAACTCTCTCATTTTTATTTTTCTTTTTCTTTCGCTTTTCTTGTGCGAGCATCTTGACAGTGTTCTATGTCGCATGACCGCCGTTACTCATTGCATGCTTCTCTTGACATTCTTGAAGGCGTATCGGGAGGTCTTTATTTGGAAGGTTTTTGGATAGGGTTGGACAAAAAGGTCGGCATGAAGGCTCAAAGTATACTCAAAATGATTGGGGTTGTAGACTTACAACTCTTGGAATCGACTCTTTCAAAAATAAAATAAAATCTTTTCCCCAGTTTCAGCTATTGGGGATTTTTTTTTTGGTTGGACCGAACCGTGAGGCTGCCTACATATCCCTTTTTTAAGGAATCAGGTCGAACGTAGTTCAAACATCTGACCTAACTTTTTTTTTCATCTATCTTTTTGTTTCTTTTCCTCTTTTTTTTTTCAAAACAAGTTGCCCCAGCTTCTATTTTTTGGGGGGCATGAACCTTTGACAGTTCTTTTCTTCTTCATTTTGTCACTTGAACTTTCTAAAAATTGCCCCAGTTTGTACTCTTGGGACATGGACTTTTTTTTTCTTTTTCCTCTTTTTTTCATTTTTTTTTGTTTTTTTGACTCTTGACTCTGAATTTGATTCCAAAAGAGGGTGGTCAAGGAAAATAACACAGGTTCAAAGGGGTGACAATGGGTATAAAGTGTTTTGGGTAGCAGAAAAAGGGCCTCCCAACCTCGAGAACGCCAAACATTGTATCTTTCACAATCACGACATTTATAGACCTGTTGCTTTCTGGGTCTATTTTAGTGTAAAGCTGTATGAACAATACTTTCCTTGGAGTGAATGCCCCTTGTCAATTCAGGTGACTTTTCTTGGATTTTGTCTTGATGAAGAAGATGCATTTTGCCACTAACTACTCCATTTTAAGTTGTCTGGAATACAACTTCTATTGAAAACACTTTCTATCTCTTAGTGCTAAACAGACTTCAGCCCATCCGATTATCCTTAAGCCTGATCTTCACAATGATTTGAAGGTGAATTTTACTCGACCTTAATTCCAAAGTATTTCAACTCTTTATTCATCCTCAAAAATGCCTTTCCCTCAGTTGTCCAATTCAAACTTAAATCAATTTTCTAAGATTTGGCAAAAAATTCCGCATGCATGTCATGTCATTAAAACTAGCGGGAAAAGAACTAAGCATGGAATGACACAAAAGGGCAAATTGTATTTTATTGAGTAAACAACAAGACAAACAACCTAAAATCCGAGTTACAACCCTAAATAACCCGGCTAATGAAAAT